TGTTAATTATTTTGGTGTCCCATGGTCGTAGCTTGTGATCTGATTCAATCAAAATTAGTTTTTTTTATTTCAATTCTTTCTCGATTTCAATTTCATATCTATTTTGGTTTTCTTCTAGGTCCAGAAACAATAACAAATGCTACAAAGAGAAATTACATGGGCTCTGCCACGGTACTCTTATTCCAATACCATCTCAGTGATTCTTATTTAAAAATCATCTATAATGTCTTTGTGTCATTTTTGGTTTGATTGACACCTGCCTTTACTACAAAGAATTGGAATTATTGTACAAATTTCCTTAGATTTGTTGTATATTTTGTCTTAGTATCAGTTGTTTAGACTAACATCTACTAATCAAAATCCAAACACGGCTATGGGTGGAGGCATGGTTTCCCATTTAACAACCCATGTGGATATATGGAATTTACCAAGGGGCTTTTGGTCCAATGGTACTCCTTACCTTGTAAAAGTTTTGTCTTCTTAAAGTCAAGAATTCAAGTCCCCCTCCCTTCCCCTTCCCCCTTCCCCTTCCCCAAAAAAAAAAAAAAACACTAATAACTCTATAAGAAAATATATATATATATATATATATATATATATGGAATATCAAAGCTAAACATGGGTATTATTGCATTTCTTTTGGTAGTTGTACAATATATATTTGAATATATGCGGCACAGAAATATTAGTGCTAATCTACATTGTTGAATGACACTCAAATGTCTTGGCCATCTTTGTTTTGAATTCTCAAGGCATTTGAATCCTCGTATATGTTCTTGCTCTAAAATGATCCCAAAAATTGGTTTGGGATCCTAATTAGAGTGAATTAGAACCTATTGTTGATTGCAATTAAATAGTGACTTTGATGCCACAGTTTTCTTGATGAATTAATTGGTGATTTTCACCATCTCATAATTAGTATGTTTGAATTGAAATTAAATAATAGTTGTGATTCAAATTATATTTCAGGAACTGATTTTAATTTGAATAATATTTTAGGCCATGTCAATTGGAGATTAAATGGTGTAGACATGTAGTTTTACTAAAACCAACAAGTATACTTTTATGGAAATTATATGATGAGTGTGACTCATTTGTTTTCAGAGTTAGTTTTCATTGGTATGCGGGGGGTGTGTTCCATAATTCTGTCTTTTTTGGTTTTGTTAATTGAAATTGAATGTATAAGCAATCGATCTTTGTTCAGTTTCAATTAATCAAACAACTAAACTGGGTACAAATGAAGTTTGACTTGCTTTGTATGTTCTTGTTTATTCACTTTTAATTCTTTGCTTTGAGTGTTGTGAACAAAATTGCATACCTAATTTGCAAATTGAAAGAGCATAACTTAAAAGATTGTCAAAATTCTTTTGTCCACTGTTGTAATATTTTGCCCATTTGCAGGTTTTTTAACCTCCCCTCCCCCTTCTTGAACTCTTATAAAATGTTTTGATTAATAATTGTATTGTATGTATAAAAGAATTGATTGGAGGGGGCAATTTGACAATTTATATTCGTCAACTTTGTAGGAAATTGTGGATATTAGGTGTTTATTTAATGGATTGTATGAAAGGTTATTGAGTTTTGTATACCAGTTACGATTATTGAGTCTTTAGAAAATAATTTTTTTCATAGAATTTTTGGTGAAAAGTTGATACGTTTAACGACAATGTTCCTGAATTTTTTATCTGTTGATACATGTAGAAGTTATTGTAGAACTCGTAATGCATCGCCTAATTCATGCATCACCTGTTAATAAGGATATTCATTATTTGTAGTTTACTCACCTGGGTCCATGTCATTTTTGTTGTTTTAGGACATATAGATGGAAGATGAAGTATGAAAGAACCTATGATCCCCTCCATACCAATATATGTAGGTGTAAGAGAAGCAAAACACAATAGTGCAGTTGAATTTGGGGCGACTCTTTTGTTTCTATTCTAAACTTGATTTGGTGAATCTGTAGTTTCGGCTTTTTCATTATTATTCATTAAACTTAATTTCATGAATATGTTGAATATATAGTTTCGCTTTTTCTTTATTATTCATTAAACTTGATTTGGTGAATTGGTTGAATATATAGTTTCAGCTTTTTTGGATACTAGGTGTTTATTTGATGGACTAGAACCATTGATCTACTTCATCCGAGTTCGTAAGAAGTTTATCTGTTGTGGACATGCTTATTAAACCATCCAAATTGTGAATGTATTTTGAAATACGTTTGGGGTCCTATTTTGGAAGAAATTTTGCGTAAGTTTTTTTTTTTTTTTTTGTTATTTCATGCCTTCAGAGTTCAGGCACGGACAATTGCTGGTCTATCTAACATGAACTTGAGAAGCTTTTCCCCTCACAATCACCACTTGGCCAATATAACTACCATTTTACTATCTCCCTAATAAACCACCATTCACTCAAATTTTTCAAAAAAAAATCAATTTCAATTCCTATAGACTCTAAGAATTTCTTAACTACCCATTTTATGTGATGGGAAAAAAAGAAAGGCCCGCCAGGGAGAGAATGAACGAGCCGGAGTAAGAAGAAATTCCGAGTATGCCCGCTAGTTTATATCATCTTACAATGACTATATTCAAACATGTAGACAGATATACCCCTGACATGGGGGCAAATACATACCTAAAAACAGAAGGAAAAAAAAGGAAAAGAAAAGAAACTCACTGGGATCATTTTTGGATCAAGCGTGCGATGAATAGCCCCAGGATCACCGCCAGAATCAACCGCCAGGCGAGCGAGCTCCATTACTGGCGCAGGCGGCCACCAAATGAGCTCATCCTCTTCTCTCCTAGTCCTACTCTGACTACAAGTTAATTTTGAACTCAGTGCCCGTCGAAAGGGGCTACTGTCGGAATGTGGACTGAGATGACTTGGGGTGAAGGGGACGAGGAATTTGAAGCAGGACCTGAGTTCTTGGGCTACTTCGGCATTGATTGCTGAGGCTTGTTGGGAAGTGCCGAGAAGAGAAAGCAAGTCGGAAGCGGAGGCTTTGAAATTGGGCTTGGGATTGGGATTGGGATTGTCAGGTGAGTTTGAGTGAGATTTGAGGAAGGAAATGGTGGGGGAATGCGACGAGGTTGTGTAGGAGGCTGCCAGAGAGAGGGAGAGAACAAAGGCGACTCGAATTGAGAGAGATGGATTGCCCATCTCTCTCCGTGACACACTGTCGCTCGCTCGTGCGCTGTGTGACAGTGTTGGTCGCCTGTAGTGGGAAGGAAATTAGGATAAATTATAGAGAAACTCGTGACCAAAGCCGGACCCACCAAACTTTATTATTAAATCCAATTAATTTTAAACTTATTTTTCAAATCTCGCCCTTTCTTAAAAATGACATCTTTTTAGATAAAAATGTTCCCCTCCACTCCCCAAAAAAAAATAAAAAATAAAAAATAAAAATCTTAGATAAAAATGTAATTTAAAATGACGCTTTCAAACGAAATAAAATTATTATTTAAATCATCATTCAGAATGATATTTCTAAATTTGTCATTGATAATGACATTTATGAAAAATATATTGAAATGACCATTAACACTATTAAATTCTTTGCACACTAAAAACATCATTTAATTTTGATGAGCCCAAATTTAACCATGTCAGACCCAATAAATCCAGGAAGTCTAAGTTAACTAAAAGGTAAGTCAAGTCTAATTCGCAAATCTGGCCCAAACCAAATTCCAAGTAGTCCAAGAAGAATTAGAGCACATGGGGAGCAATTATCAGAATATTCCCTCTCAAAAATCAAAACAACCATTTATGGCAATTACTTTTTGTAGATATCCGGAGAATTAATACTTTTGCCCTCAAGTTACCACCTTAACCAAGGTCTTGTGCTTATAAATTGTAAGTCTTCTATATGAGAGAATACATTAAGCTCTACCTCTACCCCTTTTTACACACATGTAGCTTTTCTCCCTCCTAGATATTGTACCTCTCCCGAAGCTAACCACTGCCCTCTCTCTCGTTTACCTTATTTCATCAATAAAGACCCCTCGGTCACCGTTGTCGTTTGGCAGAGTGAAGTAGATCATATGGGCCGAACCACTATATATCTGTATGTTGACTCAATATTTACATTACTGTGATTGATTTGTTTTATTAATTGTCCATTAATTACACTATGTCACACACTCGACTGTTGATCTTACACGAGACTATTTTGTGCATCATCTGTTTGGCGTCGTTTATGGAAAACGACTAAGTTTTCTACTACCTTGCTACTCTTGGGCAATCACGACCAGGTCGATGAGTCAACAACTAGGAGATAACAACCTAACCCCTTGGGAGGGGGCTACGCCTCCCCTCGCACCCTTGGAACCATCCACTACGATGACTCCCGTGGTCGGGCAACAGTTTTTATAGACCATGCAGTTGCTAGTAAATCAGAACCAACAAATAATTAAGTTGATGCTCGCCTCGGGAGACGTTGCTCCTCAGCCTGTAAGAAGAGCACCACTCCATCTGATCAAAGAAGCACCACAACCTCTTCACACTAGGGCTCCAAGCCGCCTCCCACCGTGGGGCCTCGCACTAGAATGCCCTTGGGCAACGCCGGGGTGCCCCTTGCCCAAGAGTCTGTCCTCAGCGTGCAGGAAGCTCACATGTTCCCACTCCTTATGTACCTGCGTAGAAGAACAAGGGAGAAAACCAGTTTGCCAATCATGAAAGCCATTACAATAACCTAACGGAGAATGTTCCCAACTAATGGGACGAGAAGATCAAGGAGGTGCAAAACCAACTCGTTGATGCCCTCAACGCCATCAAAGCACAAACGCCTAAGACGGTGAATTACTTGGTAAGGCACACTGATACCCTATTCGTTGTAGATATTTTCAACTACCCCTTACCCTCAAAGTTCAAGATGCCTACCATCAAGATCTTTGATGGTACCAAAGACCATTTGGATCATCTTGACACTTATTCTCTCATGCAACTCCACAACGTGTCTGATGAGATCATGTGTAGAGCCTTTCCCCACCACCTTGAAAGGGTCTGCTGGACAATGGTTTGTGAATATCAAACCCTCTTCTATTCACTCCTTCACAGAGTTGAGTAAATCTTTTGTCTCCCACTTCATTGGGGGATGTCGACATCAGAAGTCTGTTACCCACTTGCTCAGCATCAAGCAGGACTGAGATGAAAGCCTTAGGAGCTACCTCACTCATTTCAACGAGGAGACTCTTTAGATCGAGGAGCCAGACGATAAGGTAGCCCTGACCACCTTTATTGCTGGTCTGAGCTCCTCTAGCTTCATGTTCTTCATCTTTAAGAAGTTGCCCTCCAGCATGCCCAAGATGCTATCAAGGGCACAGAAGTACATGAATGCCAAGGACGTTACCAAGGCCCGTCAAGGTGAGTCCTCCCAAAGAGGAAAAAAAAAAAGAAAGGACACCCGTGAGACAAGCGAGATGTGAAGAACAAGAGAAAGAGAACTGAGAGAGTCTCTGTTTAGGACCGTCTAGGTCCCGTACCCCCCAAGAGAATGATAGCCCTTCATGCCACTCAACACCTCAGTGGAGCATATCCTATTTTAGATACAGGATAACCTCACACTTCGCTGGCCTAGAAAAATGAAGTATGCCCTAAACCGTAGGAATTCCAACAGGTACTGTCGTTTCTATCGTAAACCACGACCACGACATTGATGATTGTTTCTGGTTAAAAAGGCAGATCGAGAAGCTAATTCAGCATGACTAATTAAGGCATTACATTATCGATTGAGGACCAAGTCCACCACCCAATCAAAATCAGGAGGATCGAGAGCACCAACAGCCCCTCGAAGAGATCCAGACTATCTCCAGAGGGTTAAGAGGAGGACGTGACTCCAACTCAGCCAGAAAAGTGGACACCCAAAAATCCAGACAAGCTGAGTCACATGACTCTAGCCCTATGAAGACACCTTGGCACGGGGAAGAAAAGGTTGTCACCTTCTCAAACAGGGACCTCGAGGGGATCCAAGCCTCTTATGATGATCCTCTAGTCTTAACCCTAATGGTAGCCAACTACCAGATTAAGAGGATCCTGGTCGATAGCGACAACTCAACCAATATTATGTTTATTGGTTTCTCAGAGGAAAGGGTTTATCCCTTGGGTTCCATCACCCTGCCGATCACAACAGAAATAGCACTGAGAAGTCCCATCATCATCGTAAATTTTATCATACTTGATTCCCCATTTGCATATAATATTATTCTTGGACGCCCTGTCCTCAATACCTTGAGGGCAGTGCCGTCTACCTACCATATTTTCTTTCATTTCTAACCACCAGTGGGATTAGAGAGATTAGAGGAGACTAGGTCTCCACCCAAGAGTGTTATGTGGCCTCTATGAGGGCCAAAAGGCCACATGAGACTCTCCAAGTTAAAGCACTTGACCCGAGGTATGATAGCACCTTGGAGAAAGGGCAACCAACAAAAGAATTTCAGGCAATAGCAGTGGATGAAAGCCTTCGAGAAAGGAGAGTCTATATAAGCTCCTCACTTTTCCAATAGCAAGCATCTGAATTGATAGACTTCCTTATGCAGAACACAGATGTCTTCGCTTGGTCCCACGAATACCTGGAGGGCATCGACCTCGAAGTGGCTTCCCACCGACTCAATGTCAATCCTATGTACAAGCTTATCCACCAAAAGTTGAGGAATGTTAGTACTGAGAGAGGCCAAACCATGAAAAAGGAAGTGGAGAAGCTACTAAAAAATGGGTCAGCAAGGGAGGAAACCTACCTAGACTGGCTATCCAATGTAGTGATGGTTACGAAGGTTAATGGAAAGTGATGCCTTTTCGTGGACTTCACAGAGCTCAATAAAAGCCTATCCCAAAGACAGCTACTTTCTCCCACAAATCGATCTCCTTATTGATGTCAGTGCGAGACACAAGCTATTGAGTTTTCTAGATACTTACTCCGGGTATAACCAGATCAGCATGTTCCCTCTAGATTAGGAGAAAACTTCATTCATCACCTCGAAGGGCACCTACTACTATAGGGTGATGCCTTTCGGATTCAAGAATGCTAGAGCCACATATTAGTACCTTGTGAACAAGATGTTCGAGGCTCAGATCAGGAAGACTATGGAGGTCTACGTAGATGAGATGTTAGTGAAGAGTATGATTGCGATAGACGATGTAACACACCCCTAGGAAACCTTTGATGTATTGAGAGTCAATAGGATGATGCTGAATCCTGAAAAGTGCGCCTTTGGCGTCAATTTTGGAAAATTCTTAGGTTTTATGGTAAAGAAAAGGGGCATTCAAGCCAATTTAGACAAGATTAGAGCCATCTTGGAGATGAAGTCCCCAATCTCAGTAAATGAGGTCTAGCGCCTTAATGGAAGGATAGCGGTCCTCAACAAGTTTGTCTTGAAACGAGCAGATAAGTGTCTGCCTTCCTTTAAAATCCTTCGCAGGTCTTTCTAGTGGGGACCAGATGTAGAGGAGGCCTTTCAGAAGCTCAAGGCCTACCTCTTCACACCGTCTTTGCTCCCTCATGTTGTACCAGGGGAGACCCTGTATCTGTACCTCTCCTCTTTACCCTCTGTCGTGAGCTCTATCCTTGTTCGGGAGGATGGAGGCATCTAGAAGCCTGTGCACTATATAAGTAGGGGCATACCAAGGGGCAGAGGTAAGGTACTCAAAGCTTAAAAAGTTGGCTCTCGCACTTGTCACCGCCACCAAGCATTTACGCCTTTACTTTCAAAGTCACACTGTCATGGTTGTTACAGATCAACCACTTAAGAGAATTCTAGGAAAGCCTAATGTGTTCAGCCGACTACTCAAGTGGGGCGTCGAGTTAAGTGAGTTCGATGTGCAGTATCAATCGAGGGCGACTATCAAAACACAAGCACTTGCAAACTTTGTAGTAGAATCTACACCACCACAGGAGTCCCCGGATTCTATGTCGCCACAAGAATTCCAGGAGTTTACCCCACCATAAGAGTCCTAGGAGGAAGTGCCACGTGCCCTTGTGCCCACCTGCTCAGTACATACTGCCTTAACTCACCATGAGGCAAGCCCAGACATTATCTTGAGAGGGCTCAGTGTCCCGGAGACAGCTCCACAAACTCCGGGAGACCACACTCCTAGACTAGAGGCATCTGCCTCCCTTGTGCCTACTCCACCTGAGCCCTTTGCACCCTCTCTATCTTCTATTATACTAGGTTGGGGACTTTACGTGGATGAGTCCTCTACTTGTAAAATCTGGGTA